ATGCTGTTCTGCTGCATCTCGACGATGTACTGTGGGCATACATGAACGAATCGAATCGAACGCATGTGCATGCAGGTCGTCAGCTCGGGCACCATCACCGGACCCTCAGCTCGTGGCGAAATGCGACGAGCTCACTCAGGTGGGTGTGCCTCGGGTCTTGGTGCTACTCTGATCGTCGTGTCGCCGTACGCTGTTGCTGTTCCTGCTGTTGTTGATGCCGTGTTGGTCACGCGCACGCCAATCGGAAGCCGGTTCTGACCTCTTTCGAGTTTGGCTTCGGTAGGTACATGACACACCGTTATGCCGCGCTGCTGGTTTCTTTTTCTGTGTTTTGGACACGACAGGAGCGTGATGAGCTCTTGACCACGATGGCGGCGGTAGAGAAGGAGCGAGACTTTTACTTCGACAAACTCCGGGACATCGAGCTGCTCTTCCAGGTGAGCAATAGTGCCACTTTACCCTTTCTCGACGAGCCTTGTTGTTGTTGTTGTCGTTGTTGTCGTTGTTGCTGTTGTTTCTGTTGTCGACTACGTTATCTTCCGGTTGAAAACGCCTGTTTTTTTTTCTCATGCTGCGCGTAGTCTTGCCCGTCTACAGAGAATGGAAACATCCGGGCGCATCGGGCTGCCTCTTGCCCCTTGTCGCTCAGCATGGTATTATAGAACTCCTCGTCAAACAAAATACTATTAACATTTTTTCAAAGGCTTGTGTTTGGAGTTTTTTTTGTTTTGTTCGATGCCTCGCCGACATACTCCCCCCCCCCCCCCTTTTTTTTGTCTTGTCCTTTACGAAGACACGCAGCCTTTTCTTTTCGTGTTGAAGAAGTACCTTCGTTTGGTTTCGGGTGAACCTACCTATTTCTCTTTGATCTCGAGAGAAACACACGGGACGTGACCGCTACGAAAATTGTAGCGCATCACGCTCATCAGACGTTTCACCAGCAAGAGCTGTAGTTCGTGAACCGTCGACTTGGAAGGAACCAGCACGTGTGCCTGCATCCTGTTGATGGTTTTCCCGAAAGCAAGAAACCACCAACCGCCCACTTCGTTGGGTTGTTGTTGTAGCAGCAGTAGTTACGCATACGTTTCTTGAGTGAAAAGGCGGAAGGATGCTGCAGAACCATGAGCAGGGGTCCCTCCAGAACCCTCCCAACAAATGCCTTCTCGAAGCCGAAGCATGTGGTAACGATTGCTTCGAGCAGTGTGTTCGTGCGCGCAGCAGCGAATTGAGCTACAGTATCACAGTGTCGACCACTGCTGCTCTGTGCGTGTTTCGTGTCGAACCTCTCTGCGCTTGTTACACCTCGGAGGTGAAACCGCTCTCTCTCTCTCTCTCTCTCTCTCTCTCTCTCTCTCTCTCTCTCTCTCTCTATCTATCTATCTATCTATCTCTATCTATCTATCTATCTTTTTTCTTTTTTCCGGCAGAATGACGAGCAGGAGTCCGGCGAGAGCGACCTGACGAAGAACGCCTTCAAGATCCTGTACGCGACAGACGAAGATCACGATCAGGCCGCGGAGGGAGAGGAGCCGCTCGAAGCAGACCAGGCACAGGTGACGGTAGGTGCCATGCGATGCCATAGTTCCACAACAAATTCATCTCTTTTAAAGAGTGCGGGATAACATAACTTTCATTTATATAGAAACACAACGTTAATCTCTCCCAAAGAGTCCAGGATAGCACTTTTTGGTTTTCTAGAAACACACGACGAATTCAGCTCTACCAAAGAGTCCGGGATCGTGCCGTTTTTTTTCCTTACAGAAACACAACAAATTTACGTCTTCCACAGATATTAGTCCGGGATAGAGAAGCACTGACGTCATATTTGTTTGATACCCAACTTTCTACGGTTCTTTTGAGTCTCACGTGTGTAGGTCGTGTCGTGCTTGCGATACGCCGTGTTTTTTGTTGCGATGCATAGCAGATTTGTCATGTGATGACGGCACGTGGTGTCGTGTGATGACGTCACGTTGTGCCGTGTGGTGACGTTAACGTGGTGTCGTGTGATGACGTCACGTGGCGTTGTGTCATGTCGCGCCACGGGTTCTGCTGGTGCTGCGTGCTCGGCACACATCCCATGTGGTCGTCCAACGCCTTCGTTCGGATGGAAATCTACGATGAGAGAGGACTATTTCGCCTTAGTACAAGAGGGAACGAACACGCTGTACGGAATGTCGGCAAGGGAAACCCGCGACCGATAACCGCGACAAAAATGCCAGCCCTTTTGATGGCCTCCTTGCGGAAGGACCATCGCAGTCGGCTTGTCGGCGGCCTCCTATCCACGGCAGGACGCGAATGCCTTCCTGAGTCTTTGCGGCCGTGCCCCCCACCTTGGCACGTTCGGGGGCGACAGAACGCTGCCCCTTGGTGCACTGGTACCACTTGTTGGAGTCGTGGGCCATCCAGGGTGGTTTGTCGCACTGCCTGCGGCTCCCACCAGTGTTGCCGATGTACCCAAGCGGCATTGCTCTGTCGGCGCCGACTGTGTCAAGGTAGGGGCCACGACTGGAACGGCCTACGTCTTGTTATGGTTTGAGGCCGCCGAAAAACCGACTGTGATGGTCCTCCCGCAAGGAGGCCACCTAAAGAGATTTCCCCTTGTTGTCGTGGTTATCGGTCGCGGGTTTCCCTTGCCGGGGTTCCGTACAGCGCGCTCGTTCCCTCCCTTTTTGAACAGGCAATATTTCTTTCCCTCTGTCCTGTTGGCTATTATTGTTCCTTCATCTTCTTTCCTTTGCACACGGCGCGTCTCAAGGTCGTCTAGTCTAGTTACGGCGTGCAAGCAAACACGGCTTCGCCGAATCGCTCTCGGGCATTTTGTCTGCCTATTCGTCCCTCTTCGTGCGTTTTGCCGGCAGACGTTGGCGGGTGACACGGAGGACCTTTTAGCCGAGGACGGCGACGATCAGGCCGCGGGCGTCGCGGGCGTCGACCTTGAGCTGTAAATCGGCAGTGCCCCACACCAACATGCCTTTCCGCTGTAAAATGGTATGCCTCCAAAACGTTCTTGATCCAATGAATAACCGTTGTGAAAATGGTATGACTCCAAACCATTTACTCCGATCGCGCGGGGGGGGGATTTTGATGGCCATTTTTGCCGGCAGTCGGCGCTGGGCGTTTTTTTTTTTTTTGACGGTTTCATCCTCCAGTTTCGCTGGCGGCCATGGCTGGACGGCGTGTGCTTGTGGGTGACCCCAGCCAGCCCCCAGCGCTACAGTAGCTAAGACGTTTGGGGAAGTGGCCTGCGAGGGCGGTATTCGACCAAGAGTGTCATAGCCGCCAAGTCCTCCAGGCTGAAAATCGCGCCTCTCCAGGAATGGAGGGGTTTGATATCACCTGGGCGGCGGTGGGGGGGGGGTGTTCATGCCGAACACCTCGGCATGAAACTAAGAAACATCCGACACTTGGCGGTGTTCGCAAGCCGAAAAAAGTTAGAGGAATCGGCCTGCCTCAATGACGGCGGAAGGCTGTAGGCCGTGACGATCGATGGTGTAAGGTTCGCAGGTCGGTAGCCGCCGGATCATCTGTCTCTCTTTTTGTTGTTTTTCCTCTTGCCTTGGGTCGACAAAAAAGTTCGTATTTCTCTAGAGCAGCTACGGGTTTTTCTGCTGCTGTTCTGGTTGTGTTTGATGTTGTTTTATTGGTTGTTTTTTGTTGAGGACCCTTTTGAGTCGTCTTCCGTGGGTGCGGCGAGGAACGTTATTTTTCCCTGATTCCCACTCACTCTCTGCGTTATTTCTACGGTAACAATTTTTGGTGTTCGGCGGAGGCCGGCGGATGCGCTGGCTGTGGGTGAAACATTTGGGGGAGGGATGGGGAAGCGGGGACGACACAAGAACTGAACAGTTTATTCAAACGAACGGCGCTTCTTGCACGAGCTGGTTCTCCCCGGGTGTTGATCTCTGACAAAGAAGTGGTTTGCATGCATCGTTTGTCCTGTCTATGCTGGTGCTTCTTGCGGCCCACCCGCCCGCTCAAGGAGACTTTTTTTTGGCGGGCTGACGGGGGGGGATTCCACTGCTGTCGACTGTTTTCACGCTCGCGATCAGCGTCCACGTATCACATAGTATCGGGCGTTTTTTCCTTGGGGAGAGCGAAACAACGCCCTCTTGTGGTGTTATTTCGCTGTGTTGGACGGGTGCCCATATCTCGGGCTGTGTGCTACCGGCAGCACCCCGCCGCCGTATTCTGTGCGCTCTCTTGCGCGCGTCTCGTGACGGTGCTATGCATGCACACTTGTGGCTGACTTCCTCGCTGCGTCATGCTTGCTTTCTGTCGATTCCTGGGGATGAGGGGAGGCTGCGTTGGCGTTGGTTGGCCGGGAGTTCGGTTGCGTTGGTTGTTGCTTTCTTGCGACGTGGTTGCTATTCGCAAGGATAAAGGGTACCCTCGCCTGTTTCGTACATACAGCGAGCGGTCAGGCAAAAAAGGATATCCGTTGAGGAGAAAAAAAAATACCGAGCACCTCGTCGTAATGTTACCCGTGTGTTCGGTTCCAAACGCCAAGAAGATAAAAAGAGCTGGCGACATATATCGGCGAAGTGGGGGAAGGTGCGGGAGCCGTAGCCGCGTACAGCAGACTTCCATGCAGCACAGTAAATTCTGGCATAGTCTGCTTTTTGTATCAGAAAAACCGTGTGCGCTTCTTTTGTCGTCGGCATCAACACGGTATGGCTCTTGCGGGGTGAAGAAGGGGAGCTCGACTATCACCAGTAGTTCTGCTGTATGCATGTTTTTGAGTGTTTCATTTTTTCTGTTGCCGCATCGCTGATTGATTTCGGCGCTCGGGTGCTTGGAGTGCCTGGAACTAAAATTCAGTCAGAGAACGGTGATTGCTTCTTGGCGGCTGCGTTGGGATGTGGTGTCTCCCAAACGGCCGAAGTGCCGCTGGCGTCCGACTGCTACCTGTTGTTTCGAAAGGCTCCGAACAAGGCGACTTCCACGCACCACGGATGGATGCTGCAGCACACCCCGAAACAAGCTACAGTGCGACACAAGCCTATCCCGGGAGTTCCATGCATACAGCAGTAGCCTGCCTCATTTACCGCAAATATTTATATTTCCACGTTGTTGGTTCTGTTTTCCTGTCGCTCTCCTCATCATTACACAGCCCGCTCTGCCAAAGCCCAACCACTCCAGTAGCACACCGCTGAGGGTCCCTGCACCAAGCGATCTGTGTGTCTGTGTCATCCATCCAGCTGTGGTGGTCGGCGCGCTGTTGGTGCTCTCTGAGGCGGCAGCAGCGGCGGCACCACGCGCAGGTTGCTTGGCAGCTTTCCTTCTATTCCTTCGAAACAAGGCGTGCGCAGACACCGCGACCCAGCGTTGCCCTCTTGCTCTTTGTTGACCAGCGAAATAAGGTGAGCGCAGTTTAGTTCACCCATCCCCCTCGGTTGGCTGTGCGACTCTGAGTACTGAGCTGAGCATACCGAGCAATCGACAGCAGCAAGTGGCCAGATGTGGCAAAGTAGTAGGTGTATAGACATGATTACCTTCTGCACCCCGCTCTACAATCAGGGACGAGCACGAGCTCGGCCAGCCTCCAGCACGGCTAGCCAGTTCTCTAGCTTGCTGATTGGCGCGCCCGTAGATAGATAGGGAGCACGTGCTGCTGTGTGCGCTCGCCCTCGTGAGCGATCCTGTAATCTCCTCCTCTTGCATCATCATTCTAAGTTCGCGTTTAAATGCGGGGGAATTGTGGACGAGAACGGTTGGTGTTGGGTTGTCATCAGGTTGTGTTTGTTTCCCGACGACCACCCTCGCCGCTTGTGTCAAGTCCCTGCACACATGCGTGCATAGGTTCCATGGAGTTGGAGGAGGTGTGCACGGGTTCGGGTCAGCTCACGTGTAGTTCTGTCTGGCGTTCCTCGGAGGAAAAACTGCTGTGGTGTCGTGCTGTCGTGTCGTCATAGACTTGTAACAACCCATCCGCATACACCCATCCGCAGTTTGACGAGAGCAGCGCGGTTGGGGGCTGGATGATCCATTCGGGTTATGGATGGCCCTTCGCTCTCAGAACCAGAGCGTGTAGTGCTGCCGTGTTGACGCAAGTTCCGTGTGGACCAAGCCATGAGAATGGAAAATGGAAGAACAATTTGTAGAATGTTGTACATATTGCTTTGCTTCGCTTTATTTATTTTTTTTTAGAAGTTCAACATAGATAACCATCATGATGATCGGATCCGCTTTCGCCCCTTCGGATTCAAACATTCAAACTCTTCTCGCCGAAACAAAGCAAAGATCGCGCCCATACTTTGCGACACCACACGGCATGAAACAAGTTTCTTGACATGGCTAGCATACGCGCGCCAGCAGGCACGCAACACGTGTGCGGTTGTTCTTCCGTTGTATACTTCAAAGCGTAGCACTGCTACCTACGCCACACAGCAGGCGAGGTAGGGTCACGAAATATGACAAGGGTATAAGGTTCCACCAAGTTCCACCACCGTGTAGAATCGTCCATCATGGAATCCACACACCTTAACCGGCTCTTTGCATAGATTTTATCTCGCTTCTCGTACGTGTATCCCACACAACACCCCTTGTTCCTTCCACACCACTCCCCCAACTATGTCCAACCACTCGATTCTGCCGACCCATTCTTTTCCAATGTTTGCTGTGCCAACACTCTCCCTAGAGAGAGCGGTGGACGCCCAAGCCTTTTGAGAGACGGGAGAGCGGCGAAGGCAGAAGAGGTGCGAGACAGACGTTGCTCCCCACCCGTGTGGTCCGTTGGACGACACCAACCATTACATGTCTGTTGACTTGTCTACAGCAAACAGTCGGACTCTCGCGCCGTTTGCTTTGGGGGTCTGCTGTTGCGTGCGTTTTGGTACAGCAGCGTGCAGCACAATTAATTGCTGCAGCGGCGTAAGTTTCGCTTGCATTGTAGTCACATTTTGCACTGCCACCTGCAGTGCAGCAGCAGCAACAGCAGTAGCGAACTGTCACCGCTGTGTCGATGCTATTGCTGCGGTCTGTGCTGGGAGGAAGCAAGGAAGTGGCAGCTCCAGCAGCAGCAGCAGCTGCTGCAGCACCAGCATCAGCGGCAACAGCAGTGCCTCAAAAGCGCTGGGAGCTCTACAACAGCAATAATGCTGAAAGGAAAGAGCCTTGTGATGATCGCCTCCAGGCTGCTGTGTGCGCCTGTTTCACGTCACGTTTCCTCCCGCGCTCATCGGTTTGCTTCGATCTCGTCGAAGAGCCCTTGTGTCAGCATACGTGGATACAGAGAACCTATTGATACCTTCCCTATTTGTTGTGTCCGGTCTTGGAAGTTGAACTTTGTAGTGAGATCTTGTTGTCCGCTTTGCCTATCTCCCTTTCCAGCAGGGCAGTACAAGCACCACAGAGAGATGGCCGGGGATAGATGCAGGTTGCCACGCGGCACATAACCTTGCCAACGCAACAGCAAAGGGCTGTGTACCTCCAAGAACACAACACTTCGAAGTATTGTTTTTTGTCGATGATCGCGATCCTGTGGTTTTATCGTTTTATCCAACAGACAGAAGAGAGGGGTTGGCGATCGGGAAGTTGGTGCGCATCGGACTGCTCGTTCCATTAATTCAAATACGTCGCGTATGTACACTGCTGTAGACGCGGTACGGTGGTTTATGCGAGAAACTGTGGTAAAAGGATGTGCATCGGCAACGGCAGCAGCTCGAATTGTGAACGGCCAGTTAGGTAACAACTACAGTACAACGATGTTCTTGGTGCGGAGGATATATATGTATCGAAGATGGCGATGATGTGCAGCATTGTATCGTAGGTGACACAACACACAAAATATACCACACCCCCTGGACCGCGTCTCTCAATACTCTCCACTGCTGCTGTACTCCACGCAGACGGGGATGCCTACCTCAAATGATGTGTCGTGTCTTCGGAAACATGTCGATGAGACGGTTCCAACCCGGACTTTTTCGGCACCGCCGCTCTTTCTCGGGAGGAGTATCGGGTCAATGGTCTGAGCGCTAAGGCATATGTAAAACATATGAGTACGCCTCCCCCACCCCCCTTCGGCCTCCGATTTCGATTAATAGTAGGCCTATGTGGCTTGGATATTTATATTCGCGTGTACCCCGGGCAGGTTGCCCAGGGTAATGTTTATAGGAGGTTCGTTTGCACACACATACGTGTTGCTCGTTGGACCGCAGCTCACGACGCTCTGTGGTGATGAGGGCGTTTGAACGTTTCAAACACGACGACAGACAGACAACACACACCGCTTCGGCCGCTCGGGAGGAAAGAGCTCACGCGTTGCGCAGCACGCTACCGTTCTCAGGTTCATTCAGCCTACCGGCAAATAGATACCAAAGCATATGGCTCGGAGTAGGGGCGCATCCCAAAGGTTACCGTGACTATCGGCGTTTGCATCCGCGTGATCTGAGTGAGAGTGTCATGTGGGGCGTATTGTTGCTGTTGCTGTTGCTGTTGTTGTCTTCACATTATGAAACCGTTCCGGTCGTGTGTACCGTACACACGCACAATACTGACATGGTTTGTGTGTGGTTTGAACGACGACGCACTCCCGACAACCAACAACGTTCCAACGGAACGAAGGCTGCTCGGCGAACCACTCGAAGAAGGGGCAAAGCCCATGCCGTCTTCGTAGCGGTACGACGGCCGCTGGCCACAAGGACACGCGCACGAAAACGAAACGAAGCGAAAGAACAAGCTTCGTTTGCTAAAGCCCCAACCTATATCCCCGGTCCTACGGCAGCAGCGCAAACCGTAAAACGTGGCAAGCAAGTGCCCTATTACGCTCCCCCTCAGTCTATGGTCTAACGCCCACGGCACCGGCTTACATGAGAACACCCTAACGACTAGGGCATGCACGGCTCTGAGTACAACACCACCCCCCCGCCTCAGTCCCGAAGAGCATGCGCTGTCAAGCGGCTGACGCGAGCGACAAGCGCCCTCCTTCCCTCCCTCCCTCCCATTTCAGGTGGCGTCCGGAGAACCCACCCGACATCCTAGAGCCTGGTCTTTGGCGCTGTCGCGAGTGTTGCGCTAGCCGTCCACCGGTGCCGGCGGCGGTGCCGGTGCCGGTGCCGGTGTCGGTGCCGCCGGTGCCGCCGCAATGAGCGCCATGGCCAGTACGAAGCCCGGCGGTGTGCCTCCTCCAGGCGACGGTCATCACAGCGGATGGGCGAGGACCGCTGCAGCTGCTCCTTCGCACGGGCAGGGCTACCGCTATTGTCCAGCTCCACGACGGGGGGGCGGCGCTACAGCTTCTGCCCCCGTCGCGGACGGGGGGGAGAGGGGGGGTTACTACACCGGCAGGATCTCTCACGGTTTCGGCAGGTGAGTCTTGACGTGATGTATCCTTTTATTGGTTGTTTTGTTTTAGGTCCAGCAGGAAGGGGATTTTTCTTGGCGGCGTGGGTGTGCGGTGCTACGGAGCGGCGACGGTGTTGAGATACGAATCACAGGCTCAACGTGTGACCAGTGATTTCGTACGAGCCGGCTTGCTGTGTGTGTGTGTGTGTGACCAAACCATGCACACTACGCGGGAAAGAATGCTAAAGAGAGAGAGAGAAAAAACACCGACCCTCTTCTGCTTCCGCGCGTTGTTGATACGTGGTGGGCGTGCTACTGCTACGTCGTTTTTGCTGGTGCTTGCGCACTCTCGTGCCCCTCCCTCGCTCGTTTCGTTTTGTATCAGGAGGGCCGGCGGCGGTCGGCGAGGGGGCACCGCAGTTGGGTGCCTGTTCGCTCTGGGGGTGCTGGCCTGGGTGTGGGTGATGGGGTCGTTCCGCACATTTTTCTCTGTGGGGACCCCGTCGTCATCAGCCGCAGCGCCGACGCGGGAGCCCTTGGGCCCCGCGTCCTCGGCACCAAGACGGACGACGAGCGGCCTGCCGGCCGTCCATGCCCCCGGCCTGGACACGCCTGCTGCTGCCGACGGTGGTGGTGGTCGAGATGCTGTATCCCTCGCGACTAGAAATGGTGCTAACGCTGACAGCATCCCTGCGGGGGGCGGCCCAGACTACCTCCACAAGCCTCGCCTAGAGATAGAATCAGGGGCGGCGGATGTTTCGGGACCCTACGACCAGTTCCCGGGGCCGCAGGCCGACGGCCGAGAAAAGGGGGTTCGCGACGGCGGCGGAGGGCGGGGGGGGGCGTTCTTGTCGTCAGAGGAGCTGGCCGACGAGACCCTGGCGGACGGGAAGGCGAGGTGTTGGACCGACGAGGCCGGGAACGGCCGGTGCCTTCCGACCGTCTTCTTCTTCGGGGTGTCCAAGTGCGGTGAGTTTTTGGGGTAGCAACGGGGAAGAAGAGGAAACGGCCAAAATACCTACTTCTTCGTTGGGGGGTTTCCACTATCGATACGTATCACCACTAGGGTTGTCACCCGGTTTGGTCAGAACCCGGTACCCGGGTACCCGGGTACCCGGTTGTTTCGATACACGGCACCCCCAAAATGCACACACAGCCACAGCGCCACAGCGCCACAGCACACGACACACAGCTCCACAAAACGTTCTTCTTGTGCGTCTCTAATCAAGTTGTTTCGCCAAGTGTGTGATGAAGGACGCGGCGCAACCCCGGCCGTTGACGTTTTACTTTCAACGGCTGAGTTTTGGAGGGAAGGAGGGAGGGAGGAGTACTACACAATGGCGGCAACGTCCTAGCCGTGAAATAAATATGTGTTTTGGCTGCTGTTGTTCGCGCGCTTTTCTTTTCCACCCAACGGGGCCCGCGCTGAAGAAAGTTCGTCGTTTTCCTTTCGTGTTCGGTCCTGTTTTTCGTACTCTGTTGTGCGTACTACAACACAGTATCGCCTTTGGTGAATTGTGTTGCCTGCGGAGGAGGGAGGCGTACTACATAAAACGATTGTGTGTTTTCGTGTCCAAGTGATGTTCACGCGCTTCTCTTTTTTCCACGAGAGAGAGCGGGGTACGGGGGGGCGGGGTTGCTGCCTACATTTTTCTACTTTTCTGTGTTTCCTTCCGTCTTCGGTCGGTCCTGTTTTTCGTACTTTTTTGTGCGGACGTGGTATCGCGTTGGGGGGAAAGGATTTTTTTTCGTCCGGTCCATTTGTAGGTTCTTCTTTGTTGGGTAATTGGCCTGTGTTCACCAAATGCGTCCGCGCCAGGACCGGTGAGGATATTACAAGGTACTGAGCGGAGACAGGAACGATTGTATATGCAACAAGGTACTTACTACGTAGGTGGTTGGTGGCCCAACTGCCGTACAAAGAGCGCAACGTTTCATCGTGGCGCGGAAGACACTGAACGCAAAATGAATGAATAGTGATGGCAAAGGAGAGTGTTCGTATGCGTGTGTTGACAAAGTCCAGCAATTGAAAATGCCGGGTCACAACCCTTTCGCACAACATGTAGCTACGTAGATTTGTACATGCTGATGTTATTTTGCCCTTCTTGCAACAGAGCAAAATATGCAAGCAATCAATGTGTTCACAGTCCACAAAAAGACCGGGGGGTCGGACTTTGTTCGGCATCGTCCTCTGGCAGGTCATAGTGCTCTGTGACCATTGTTGTACGTACCCTTGTCACCTCCCGGGGGCCAATGCGCCTCTAGTACACGGGTACCCGGGTACCCGCCGGTTCCACCCTCGAAGACCCCACCGGGTACCCGGTTCCAGTTTTTCCCAGCCGGGTGACAACACTAATCACCACCCCGAACCCATACTCTTCGAGACTCTTCATGTTCCCATGGGCTACGGCGAAGCTCTCGCCCTTGCGCTTCCTTCCAGCTCGCTATGGTGCGTCTTTCGGATTGGCACTTCCTATGTATCATATATCTCCGTGCTGTGGTAGGTCAGTTGCGGCGCGTTTTTCGGGTTGGATGAATGCCTTCGAAGTGTACAGTTGGGCTTGTACTCTGCTTTTTGGTGTGGAGAGTGGAACACCTTTTTTTTTTTTCGCTGAGTATCCCAATTTTGTTTTCGTCGACGCTTGGTGTCGGGTGCCGGAGTAAGTCTTGGGGGAGAAAATCGGTTGAGGAGTGTCGACCAGCGTCACCAGCGCGAGTCCGCTTCTAATCTCGCGATGCGTCGACGGCAAACGTTTACATTGTTGATTTGGGATATCCATCTACTCTAGATTTCCTACGTTCTTTATGGCTGCCGCCCAATGGATGCGATGCGTACACCGCTCCGTCCGTCGATGCCTCAACCTCAGGGATTATTTATTCAATGGTGCGGTTTTGTGACTCGTCCTTATCTATTTCTCATCTGTGAGGGTCAATAGATTGGCGTTAAAGGGCCCGCGACATTGATTCTTAGCTAATGCTGTCCTAGCAAGCCATCCTCGCGGAGATGTCGGAAGCCGCTTACACCTTGGGTGAGTTACGACGGCGAAGAAATAAGCGTTCCCACCACCCATTTGTGTTCCCATCGCGTCGCGACAGGCACAACGTCCCTGTCGAACTGGCTGTCCTCGCACCCTCGAGCTGTCTTCGTCCCTCCTCCTGAGGCGCACGACTATCGAGAGGCCCACGTCTTCGACAACACGCCCAAGTACTGGCACGGCGTGAGCGATCGGGGCAAGCGGGAGAGCCTTTCTCCCATGGCTTCTTGGAGGGATACCGTCATCGACTGTAAGAGATACCCTCTTGGTTGCTGCTGCTGCTGTTGTTGTTGTTGTTGTTGCTGCTGCTGCTGCTGCGGGGCTTGCTGTTGTTGATGATGTTGATTGGGGGGGTGTTGTTGTAGTTGTCGGATCTCTCTGGTAGCTGTTGTTGTCGGGAGTTGGTGCCGTTGTTGATATGTGGTGTTGGTTGTTCGGGTTGGTAGTTGGTGTTGTTGCTCCTGTTGGTAGAAAAGTTGAAAAGTTGTTGCTATCTCTGGTTGTTGATGTTGTTGTTGTTGTGGTCGTTTTCGCTGCTGGTGCGGTCGCCGCTGCTGCTCTCGTCACCATTACCACTCGAACCGTTTTCCACTTCTAGCGAAGATAATGCAGGTGCCGATGCTAGCACCACTTGTGTTTCACATACATACCTGTTTGCATTCTTTCAAGGGCGAGTTCCTCGAAGGCACGCCGATGCACTTTCAGACCACCCGTTTGGCGTAATCAGCCAATCACCCTGGATATGTGCACAGCGGTAGATGACACCCCTCCCTGCTTCAGTCTCGATTGACCCTCTCGACATGGCAGACGTAGCAAGAAGCCATTGGTCATGCCCGCCTTAGCCTTCAGAGACATGAACGACATAACGTGTCGTTTTTCCTGACGGCTGACGACAATTGATGCGTGACACCAACAACCGTTGAACAACCCCAATTTTCTTCACGAGCAATCCTTCATATTTACCCGCACGCGCGCGATGCATCTACTTAATCTATTTCTATCCATTACTTTAGTTATTTGTTTTGTTTGCCCTTTTGCGCGGCGCAGTCACGCCGAACTACGCCATCGTCGGAGAGGCCCCCCTTCGGATCTACGACTACTACCACCAGGCCGGCGGAGGGCGTCTACGGAGTAACCTTCGGTTCTTGGTGGTGCTGAGAGAGCCAGTCGCAAGGACTATCAGCTCCTGGGAGTACAAGAGCGAACGTGAGAATCGTTGTCGGTTCTTGTTCTTGTTCTTGTTCTTGTTCTGGTTGGTTGGACGCAATGACCTTGAAACGTGAGGTTTTTCTTTCACGTGTTTTTCGGTATGGATTGAATGGTAAGGCGCGGGGCTTGTGTTCTAGATCCGCTCGCCCTACCGTATGTCGCCACTCCGCACTGCATGTTGATGGATGCGCTGCTCTCTCTCTCTCTCGCTTCCCTCCCACGCCGTCTATACCCGTCGCGTTAGGTATTGCTCTTGCAACAATGCAACGAATTCATAGCGTGACATGACCTCCCTGTGATCACCCGTGCAGCCTACGCCGATATCTTTCCTTTGTACGATAGGCACCACAAGACAGGAAATAGGTTATACACTCCCGAGCGGCCGATCTCGACCGATAAGTCGATCCCCAAAATGCACAAAACAATTTCGTTTTGTCTGACCGCACGGCCGTTTCGCGTCTCTCCCGAACCGGCAGCACTTGGACCGCACGGCAATGGCACCGGCAACAGCTCCTACTCCAGCGGGGGGGGCGCCATCTCCGAGTGGCCGCAGAGAATCGGTGGTGTTGATATAGCTACCAACACCGTAGACGAGGAGGAAGAGGGGGGGGAGGAGGGGGGGGAGGAGGAGGAGGAAGGGGGTCAGCAGCAGCAGCAGCAGCAGCAGCAGCAGCAGCAGCAGCGTTTTGCGGAGGGGAGGCGGCAGAATCTGCGACGGAGGCGACGAGGAAGAGGAGTAGGAGCAAAGGTGGGACGGAGGCAAAGGGACAGAGCAGTACGCGAATGTTTTTTTCCTGCGGAGGGAGTAGGTGTTTTTTCGGGATCAGGGCCTGCTGGCGTCACTGACACCTTCAGCAGTTATGTAGGCTGTCCAGCACGCTTTCTTCCCCACTCACTGCTAAGACTTATGTCGAACGGGTAGATAATAGTCTTTCTGTGAAAGACCGGAGCATGTTGCAGCAGCGGTTGGTTGTGTGGGGCCGAGCAGTCATGTTGAGAAACTTGTGTTTCCAGCGTTCCTTGCCGGTCGGTATCGGTCTTGACTGACAGATTCCCACGAAATAACCAAAATAGCACCACACGAGATATATAGGTGCATAACCCCGCTGGGAAGTGTCGCGACAAAAAACAACCCTCTACTGTAGTTTTCACACAGAGCAGAGGGTTGGCGCTTGTCTATTCGTGTCACACGCAGTCTACCTCCACACACCTTCTCCCAAACCAAGACAACAAATTCCACCAAGTCTAAGAATACAGGACGAAATAGGCGACACGAAGGCGGGTGTGTGCTCAAATACGGTCATTGCGGGGTCTATACCAGTACCGTAGGTGACACGAGATACCGCACCGCCGGGGCCGATTTTCAAAGCTCGATTGCTTCGCAGTAGAGTGAGTTGCGGTGCCGAAAATGGCAGCGTTGGACCGTCTTGTCGAGAGCTTTTCGAAAACACACCACTTGATTTTGGCATTATCTTCGTCGTGGAGTAGTCGAGCTTTCAAAATCGGACTTCCCTTCACAATTTTATGAGGAAAAAGAACAGGGAGGGGATACGCGGACCCTATTCCCTAACTCCAACCCTAACCCGACTTCCCCGGTCGCCTGCTTTATCCAGCATGTTTCCTTTATAAATGCCTTGCCAAGGCTACTGGAAAAATCGGTCCAGGGGGTGTGGTACCCTGTGTCACCTAGGGTAACCAGCATACGCGCATTGAGAACAGGCGTTACCGTGCGGCAGACACGTCGGAGTTTCAGTAGTTGCCTTCCGGTCCTCCTCGCTTCTCCAGCTTTTCACGTGTGCATGCATGCATATGCTACATGTTGACGATTTATCCACACACGGTCTGTGTGCCTACACAGGGCGCGAGCGAGGACATGAGAGATAGGCGCCGGCTGGACTTCGTCATGGAGGAGCAGAGGCCGCTTTCGGTGGCGTTTCGGGAGGGGGCAGCCACAGTGGAGAGGCTCGCGGCGTGCGTGAGGAACGCCACGGACTCGGGGCTGTTCGGGAGGGAGCCGACGGTCACCTACTGCAGGTAGGTTTCTTCTACATTGGTTGAGCAGTCCCCCCCCCTCCCCTGTGGTCGGGTTTATCCTTACAAAACGTTGCCTGGGCCATCGAAAACCCGGCTCCGTCCCGACGTTGCGAGGCCAGTGGTGTAGCAACTACTCGGACGAGTTTAGTCTCTCCCTTGTACTCTTTTGTGCTCCGAAGTAAACGTTGGCGTCGTAGACAGGACGTGAACTTGCGCGTGAAAATGACACGAGTTTCTTGGACCCCCCGTAGCGGCTCCCCCCGTGCGGAGAGCGCTCGCTGTGCAGGTTACGTGTGAAGGAACGGCTTCAGGCTACCGGTGTTGGTAAATCATCTGTATGGCTGTGATGCCCCTTCTTTTGGGAGAAGACGAACGAGAGCCTAGACAGACAGGGGGCTTGTAGGGGGGGTGTACACATACCTTTGTTGACCTCGCATCCCTACAAAGCCGGGACGGGTTCTCACCGGACCGGGCATTCACATCACCAGGCGTGAAGCGCCGTGAGGTATTCGGCGAGTCGCGCGGAGGGTGCGGTGCATCCTGCTAAGGGTATTCGGCATCTTGTGCTTACTTCCTTGCGTACGGATGACAGCTGCGTATGATTTATTTTCTAGTGCTTTCACTTCCAGAGACAGTTATAAGTACAAGCACTGTGTAACTGCCTGGAGAGTGCTTGACCAATTTAACACAACGTGGTGCGATCATCCTCTTTGCGCAGAGTGAGGGTTCTCGACCCCGCACAACATCATCTACCCGACCACCATTATGATAACCGCGAAAAAAAAAGGAGAGGAAAGAAAAGTGGTAACCCGGTTGCCGAGCTCACAAAGCGATCGGCGTGTTTTACAACGTCGTTGCCAAGCGACGACAACCCAGTCCCGATGGCTCTCGAGATATTCGGGGGGGGGGGGGGGGGTACCCCTAATCGTGGATGCCGGAATCCTTTGACCCTTGACCCCCCATCCCCACAAAACCCGGACGGAACACGCCGGGGTCTCCCCCGAACAGGGTCTCACATCACCAAGCGCGAAGCGCCGTGAGGTATTTGGCGAGTCGCATGAAGGGTGAGCTGCATCCTGCTAAGGGTGTTCGGCATCTTGTGCTTACTTCCTTGCATACGGATGACAGCTACGTATGACTTAATTTATTCTCTGGTGCTTTCACTTCCAGAGACAATTGTAAGCACTGTGTAACTGCCTCGAGGAAGCTTGACCATTTTAACACAACGTGGTGCGATCATCCCCCGTTGCGCGGAGTGAGGTTTCTCGACCCCGCACAACATGATCTACTCGACCACCATTATGGTTACCGCCAAAAAAAAAACCGAGGTAAAAAAAAAAACGGTAACCTGGTTGCCGAGTTCACGAAGTGAATTGGCTTCTTTTTCAACGTCGTTGCCAAGCGACGAAACCCAATCCCGATGGCAAACACCGAGTGGGGGCGCCGGACCACGGGGGGTGGCAAGCTGGAGTGAAAACCGCAACGGAACCGGGACCGAACATGAGAAACAGGACTCACAAAATGCTGTCAAACACGCCGCAGCTCGCACTCGTAGCACGCTACACAAATAAACGCAGAACACACACACGGGCGCGCAATAGATCTGCTCAAGGAGCAAAAGCTGGTGTAAAAAGTGTCCGCCGTACAGAGACAAGCACAGGAAGTGAGCGTCTCATGGCGCCCACCCCTCTGCGCACGCACACCCAGAAGCAGGACGGTTGTCTTCCAGCTCCTGCCTCTCCCATGTCTTCTTTTACTCTTACCCTCTGATTGTTTTTGAAATTGTTGGTGTTTTTTGTGCCGCCAAAGAACTGACATTCTTTTCATTCGGTTATTATTGTGCGGTCGATGATATTTGGTTAAGAAAACACGCACACGTTTGTCAGCCGGTCAGCGCGGTCGATGCTCACTAAGAACAGCCACAGACACGCACGTGGCCTTTCGAAGCTTGTTGTGCTTTCAACCGCAGACAGACTGACTTGTTTTCGTTTGTCAACCTGTTAGCACGGTCGATTCTCACTAAGAAAAACGCACGCAAAAATCACACACCCAGGGCGACGAAGGGAAGGAAGCAGTGCAACGGCCGACCTCCCTGCGAGCTGTGCAACACCCACACCGAGCCCTGGTGCAATCCCCGCGTCTACCTGGGCGAGGTGCTCTACAACGCCCACGTGGGGAAGAGCGTGTACGCCATGCAGCTGCGTCGGTGGTTCAACGCCTTCGGGCGCGAGAACTTCAAGGTACAACGGGGTTGCATAGGCGCGGGATAATTCAAGATTTTTTTCTATTTTTTTTGTTGTGTGGAAAAGTGTGTACTGTGCAGAGGAAGGAGGTGGTGATAGACACAGGTCAGTACGACGTTCATGAGAAAACGGCCTGATGTGTAATCAACTACATAGCTATTTTCAATGGGACAACAGCCTGTTGTGTACATACTTATTTTCGTCTGGTGGGTCTATTCAGAGAAGGTGGTGCTAGAAAGGACACGACTTTCACTGTGAATACAGCCGGCAGTCCGTGCAAAATCGACTCCCCCCCCCCCTTTTTCATTTGTAGTACCTTGAGATTCAACACCCGTCTCGGCGGAGTTTCCAAGCTCGATGAGTCGACAGCAGAGGGGTTTCCCATCGAAGGACGAACGTTGGCCTCATGTTCGGGCGAGCAACGATGTTTCCGGCCACAATCCTGTGTGATACACTACAGAGACCGTGATAGCAATCGGCGGGGTCTTGGCGTATGCGTAGAAGTCTCATCAAAGGTTTTGCTATCTCGACGGAGTACATCACCATTTGGTAGGGTACTAGGGGCGCTATGTTTGGGATCCAGGATCCATGAATGAGAATGCGGCGCATAGTATGGGCCTCTGTGCAGTATGCTGCGTTCTTCGGTTGCTGGTATGTTGCTGTTCACTTGCTGAAGGCTTTTCGAAAAGTAATTATTGGATGCATGCGCGTTCTACTGGATGCGTCTCTTTTTGTACGTGCCAGGATGCATTTAATCGTTGTTGGTATGTTGCTGTTCACTAGCTGTCGGATTTTCGAATACCATTGGGTGCCTGCACCATGTGTCCCTGTACTACGGGCCAGGATGCATCGTTGATTGCTGTTTCGCTGTTCGTTTGTTCTCTTGCTATCGGCTTCCGAGTACCGTGGGATGCTCTGCCATGCCACTACTGCCACGTATCAAACGCACGTGCGTCGCGCCGCAGGTGGTGTTCACGGACGACTTGGAGGAAGAGCCGATCAAGACTCTAGAGGAGGTGCTCGACTTCATCGGCCTTGACATGGTCGACCCACAGGGCGACAAGGTAAAAACGGAGGATGCGGAAATTGGTACCAGCCCACCACGTGGTGCTTGTCGCTGGGCCAGACTTAGATGGGGATCCGGGGGCGTGCAGACTGGAGAATAAATGAGACGGTTTTGTATGACGGAGAAATTGTACTAGCCTCGCCACGTAGGGCTAGATGTGGATGGACTGGACTTCGGCGGGGATCCGGGGGCGACGCAGGCTGGAGAAGGTCGTGTTGTGGCGTCCTTTTCCCCGCCGTCTCAACTCACTCACTACTACTGTGTACCCTGCCGAAACTTCGTCCTGCCGGCCATGCTTGCTCCGTTCGTTCGTTCGCCCCCCCCCACCCCCCCCCCCCTCTCCCCCGTCAGGGCTTGCGGAGCCTAGAAATGTGGAGCGACATCGTCGGCGCGAGGTTCAACACGGCGGATGGTGCCAAGAAGAAGGTTCTTGACTCACAGGTGACGACCGACCTGAGACCTGGCTGGTACGACATGGCTTGTGGTGTCGTAATAGTCGTGGCTTGTTTTGCTGGGTGATACGTTGCATTGAAGTTTCATCGAGATATTGCTTCCGTTTTTTTTTTTTTTGCATGCATCCCTCAGAATGAAAACACTCAGGTATAGGGTATCGCCTTCGGCATCCCCTCAGCAGAGAGAGGTAGGTCGTCGGCCTTGAAGCGACACCCTTTTTTACTTTATGCGTGATAGAATCCGCGTGACTCTCTCCATTCATTTCCACATAAATGTTTTCGACTTACACGTCACTATGATGTTCTCGGTGGAACCTGGAACTGTTGCGCTTCATTATGTGGGGTCGAACTTTTGTTTGTTTGCTTGTTTGGTCTCCTTCGCAGGTGACCCCGGAAATGCGGGAGGAGATGCGGGCGTTCTTCGCCCCCTACAACAAGGACCTCGAAGACTTGCTCGGAGTTCCGCTCCCGAGCAGCTGGCATGTCCAGCGATAGAAAAGTCCGCGATGCGAAACGACCGTCGGCATCAACGCCACGATCATTGTTTTCCCGAGACGTGACGTCACCGCCATGGGGGTGACGTAATCTGTTGGCCTTGCATTTTTTTTTCAAGGGAAGAGTTCCTTTCTACAAAATTGGCCCATCACAAAACTGCGGGCACCCTTTCTTCTGTCGATAATGCCGTTGACTATCTACACACCACGCTAGACTTCTCCTTGGTGTCGCCAATCGTTCGTGGTGGTGTTGTCTTGCTGATGGCCTAGAGGAGGGAGGATGTCTGCTGATGGTTGGGCTTGTTTTTCGTGTTGTGCTTGTTTTGAATCGCGCATGGTTCTGATTGAAAACATTATGACATTATTCGTATTACTTGGTACTGCGACGCGTGGTTTTTGTTATATTCGTGCGTCGTTGTTGTTCTTAGTAGCTAGCTCATGAGGTTGAAGCTAGGTAGAGGGTCAGGGGGTAACGAGTTTCGGAGCTTGGTACCGTGAGGGTGGGCATTCATCTCGCTCGTGTGTTATTTCTTGTTCTGTAGATACAACATCCTGTGGTCGTTGTTGCTTTTTTGTGTGGGTATCCTTCCCAGTTTTTCATACCATGTTGTGTTTGTGGTTTTGATCGTGGTAGTGTGACTGACTCACACACAAAAGAGAGTTACAGCTGAAACCAGCCATGTTCGACAGCCCCACTCTCTTGCAAATTCATAGATACATGTTGCGAAGTTCACTCCCCTATCGTCTACATTGTTGCCGTGAACGAAGCTTGGTGTAGATGAGAGCGTTATTGGGGTTGTGGGGCTTACTTCATTTGTTGACTATCTGCCAGGCTAGAGGCCTCGTTGGTGTCGCTATTCGTTCGTGGTCGTGTTGTCTAACTGACGGCACAGAGGAGGGGGATGTCTGTTGATGGTAGGGCTTGTGTTAGTGCTGTACTTGTCTTCAATCGCGCACCGTTCCTGATGGGCGAGGAAACATTTCAGAGGTTGGAATGCGGAAGTACTTCAAAGTAGCATTTGGTGTTTGTGTGCTATGGGCTGGAAAAATATCAAGGAGAAAATGTTTTTAGCTGGAAGGCGTTTCGCGTCGATTCCGCAAACCTCAGACCATGTCGCCACTTCGATAATGATTGCGTTTTTGCTCGTTTTTCGTCTTTTTCTCGCGGCCGGGGTGCGGGATGAGCTCCACCTTCTACTACGTAGCATGCACGTGATCTTTGTAAACGTCGAGGGTTATTCTTGCAAGGCTTATGGTCATGACACATCATCAGGATGATGTGATGGCACCCTGTGGTCCACAAAGCTCTGTTCTTCGCTGTTGTTATCGGACAATGAGCGAGTGGAAAGCAAATGAAGAGAGAGATCCGCCGAATTCGCGCCTCTGGTCCCGTAGGTGATTGACGGCAATATCATCGCCGCATCATCGATGTACATGGTTTCACGTGTCCGATGGACGCACAAAAAGAAGAGGGTTTCACTAATTTACTCCTACATAGCCCAACACACAACAAGGTGCCTGCGCGCAGTGAAATCGAACACCTTCGTTCGAATCCAGCAAGTCAGAGGCAGGCCCAGGAGGGGCATACAGGCATCACACAGCGACTAGTATCATATGTACCACCTCACACAACCTTACTGCTATGCTAGACCAAGTTTTCCGACGCGCGTTTCACGAAGCATAGTGACGACCCCGGCGCGGTAAACAAGCATTTGGGCTTCCAGTTCTAGGAGGGTTAACAGCCGTACCGATCTCTCCATCTGTCCGTACTGATCAAACACTTACCGAACGATTCCCGAACTTTGACTATGAAGAAAGGTGGTCAATACTCATATAAAATTGATCGAAAGGGTCCGCAAAAGCTAGTCACGGGCCCTCCGCTCCCCTCTACACACACGCCATGTCGGGCAGAAATGAACTGGAACATCACGGAGAGGCCGGAGAGAGAGGGAGAGAGAGGTACATCCACCGCTTCAATCTTGGTCTTGCTTGTTGGGATAAACACAGAGTGAAAGGAGAGGGACGCGGGTGAAAAAAATCGGGACCTCATCATTGTTCCAATTCTGTCGATCGGATCTATATACTACTTCAGGGCACGCATTCATCACCTCTGTCCACAGACGATCAGAAGAAAGGCGATACGGAGAAGTACTTACGGGGAAGAAGTACTTCATCGTACGACAATGACAGACATGCGTTTGTACGACACATACTACATATCACGAGCAACATGCACTACAGGGGGAATGTCCCTTGTGGGAAACAGGCATTTCTGGGCGTAGAATAGAAGGAAGGTCATTGGTGGTTGGTTGTGTTTCATGCGTTGAACCTTCTACTGTTGCGAATATGGTATTAATTTCCTGTGGTGCCAGCTCTCAGATTCCATCGAGCATCATCTGTCCCCCAACATGGGGACATGGAGCATGCTGAACAGAGAGAAAAATATCTCTGTGTCGGTCGTCGGGATCTCCGCGCTACTGAGATCGAAGAGATGCATTGATTCGGAAAAATCTGAAGAAATGCCCGTGTGTGTATTTATTATTAGCATCGACCGCGCTAACCGGCTGACCAATGAAAATACGTCAGTCTTAGTGCGGTCGAAAACACAAAACACTTCTATCTGCCATGAACTGCGACCCCGTGAGGGGGCAGCATGGGGGAGGCTAAACTATCCTTCGGATCAAAGACAGAAACAGCAGCAGCAACAGAAGAAAACTGGACGCGTCTACCAAGGTGTGCGCGTAGGTATGTATGTGTACCCGGTTGTTTGCATACTAGACTATACGCTGTAGGCAGGAGTACACAACAACAAGCGGTGACTTTCCTTCTTCCTTGGCGATCGGCGTCACGTAGCCCGTACGTACCCCGGATCTACAGCAAGTATGTATGTGTGTGTGTAGGGTAGCAGGTACTACGCAGCTATTGGGACGTACTATGTAGGATGAACCGGGCGCGGGCGCAGGAGCAGAAAAAACAGAAACGGGAAAATATTGAGTGAGGTCCCCAAACATAGTTCAAGATACGGAGCAGGTGGCACGCCGGTAGGCAAATTTTAGGGCATCGACGCAAACGCAGAGCCCACATCACGCCTGCTTGGTACGCGCGGCCGAGTAAAGTTAGACTATCTTTGGAATAACTGACAAGGAAGGAGAAAAAAGAGCCCGTGTGAGATACAGCAGTATATCCCCCCGACGGAAAAGAATGAAAAACAAAATTTTTGCTTCTGCGTCGCCGCTTGCGCATACCTCTTTGCGGCAGAAGACACCTTCGGCGCTGTAACGGGCATACCCTCAGCGCGGTCTTCCGTCCCGCCCGGTTTTGAGCCAGATGAGATAGTTTTTGCGGCAAGAAGTTGCTGCCGTGGTGAGCGAGAGCGACACAATTTTCGACATCGATCGGCAATAAGAACGGGTACCGGGCAGGGGAGACAGGATCGAACGCGAAAAAAAAAAGTTTTTTGCCAGACAACCCACTCCTCCACACCCCAGTGTGTAACAACAGCAACAACGAGACCACAGGTAAGTCCGAAACCTTGCTCTTCTCGCGCAGGTATGATGTAAACAAATAGACCATGTGTAGCCCACCAGACGCACTCCTTGGCTCTTGTTTGTTCTGCTGTTGCTTCCGGTGGTAGGTGATCTTTACTAGAGGTTGAGGTTTGGCGCTGATGAGAGCTTGGATGAAAGCATGAAGATCTCTACTGTACCTACTTCCTTTCTCGCGTTGGGAAGGCGGGACAAGGACGAGCGATGATGACGGAGGCCCATACATTGCCTGCAACGACCCCAGCCGAAGGCGTTTTCGCTGAGAAGGCCGTGGGCACTAGGCCGAGGGCGCTACATGCGGTGCAGTTGTGTCTGCCACGTCGACCTCTTCCTCCCACGCTCCTGTCACGCGCTTTTTAAATCCGTGAACGGCGACTGGACCAAGGTCACGGAAACGATGTTTCTTCCGCTTGTGAAACATTTGTTCCGGTGTTGCGGTGTTGCGTCGAATTGCTTCGTTCAATTTTTTCTCATCTTGACGGTACCTTGAGAAACGTATTCCGAATATTTTTCGGCACCTCCCTGCGAAAATCTTCTTGTTCATCCGCCGCTCTGGCACCTGCTCCGTCGATTGCGGTATTTGCACCAATTTGCACCACCGAAGGCGATCGCCTCAGTTGGATGGATCAATGATGGCAGAGGGGTGGGGGGGTGCACTCATAGTCTAGTCGAGCATGCCGTAGTCGTTAGACCATTGATCTCGCATCCATACAATGCAGGGGCGGAGCACGCCAGGTTCTCACCGGACAAGATTCTCACATCATCAAGCGCGAAGCACCAACCACGGGTGGCCAAAGCAGGTTGTATCTGGTGCACAACCTCCCCACAACCTCTCTAGGGTCAGGTTGTACGCCGACATATGAAGCTAGCCCCGCATCACAGATTGCGACGTTGGTCCATTCAATACGGCGGACGGGCAGCGTAGACTACATGTTGTCCAAGGTCGATCCCCAACGTCCCAACCTGACCCCGGGGAGGTTGGGCACCACTTACAACCTCCCTTTGGCCACCCGTGACCGTGAGGTATTCGGCGAGGCGCGTGAGGGTGCGCTGCCACTGCATTCAGATAAAAGGGTGTTCGGCATCTCATGCATTCTTTCAAGTACGGCCGACGTGTGCCGCGCGTCTATGCGCTATGCTGTCAATTTGTTGCGAAGTGTGCCGATTGAGTGCGCGTGTTTCGTCAGGAAAAAAAGAAAAATCAGCTGCTGTCAGGCGTCTGCGGCGTTGTGTGGATACGTGCGTGCTACCTGCGCTACCCCAATTAGCTTGCGGTACGTCTACAAGTACGGCCAACGTGTGCTGCAGTAGTAACTGGTAGTGAAACGACGGACAACGACGACCATTTCTGTAGGCCGATATTCAAAGCTCAGTTCGTCCGCAGCAAAAAGAGTGGCGGTGCCGAAAATGGCGGCGCGTTGGAAGCGTCTCGTCGAGAGTTTTCCGAAAACCTATTATCGTTTTGTTGCAGACACCCTTTCGCCACAGTGTATGTAATGTAGTACTGTAATATCCGGGCTTCGAAAATCGATCCAGGGGATGTCGTACCTTGTGGAATAGAGTCGGTAGAAATGTCAATCAAGTAGGAAAAGGACGCATATATATGACATACATACATGATGAGGAGAAAACCAGAATCGCGGAAAATATCGAGGTCACTAACAGCACGACAACGGCTATTGTATGCTGTGGCTCCGTATGTGACGGAGGCTTGGGTAGAGAAACACAGAGTGATTGTATTATCTTCACACCGACGCCCAAGCTGTCTTCACCTGACGGTTACAGACTTGGCGACGCCTTCACAATACCGCATAAACCCATGCAGTAGATTAGAGCCGTTCTTGTACTACAAGCACTTCCAACATGTCCTCTCAAGAACTACGTCATTCTACAGTTCCGATGCATAAGACCTCTCGAAACGATATACATCCGTGTCCTCTCGAAACAATGCTGTCTAAAGAACTTCTAACTCATTATCCGTATCTACTTGTTTCATTCAGCTGCTATCGTAACAGCGATGTGTTTCCTTCCTA